ATTTTGGGATTTGTTCATAAACACTAGGGGGCACTGATCACATAACTTCAAATGAGCGTTAAGTGAACACTCGTAACTCAGGGATTACCTGTACTTCCATATTGTAACAAGAGATTCTTCACTTCTCACAAGTGAAGACTGCCTTAGTTCAATAGTAGGGCCCAAGATCTACATGCAAGAGGTCACAGGATGAAATCTATTATTTCCAGATAATGATAAAAAATCTTCTCTGAAAGACCTGGTTAAAGACAGATCATCATGGAGAAGATCTACCCATGTGATCACTAGGAGTAGAAAACAATTTGATGGTGCATAATCACTCTCTAGAATTAAGAAATTTTTGCCATTCAACACTGAAAAAAATACCAAGCTGGAAAAATCAATTATCTGATTCACTATAGGATAGCTTCATCACAAAAAACAAGCTAAAGCCCTTTCTATTTCATTCTCTGATACTTCAGATTATAATTAAAAAATAGTTACTTTCTCTTTCTTCAATTCTTCTTTAAGCATCTTCCTTAGCTTCTGACTTTTGATAATTTTCTCACGATCTGAACAAATCCTTTTTTTATTCGTTGAAGCAGATTTTGTCTGCGTTGTTTCCTCTTCCATCAATATTTCTTGGGTGGGTCTTTCTTTGAGGGGCGAGCTTGTGTTCTTCAGGAGAGCTTCATCGTTTCTTTGAGCAGGCATACACATGTTAGGTTCTTTACTAGCAGATTTTTTAAATGGAGAGAACTGTGGCACTTGAGGAGCAGAAGTTTTCTTTTCGGGCAATATGGAAGACTTGGGAGAACTTTCTACATCGATCTTTTCAAGTAAAGATGTTTCTTTTTGAAACAAAACATTACTAAAAGCAGGAGAGTGAGGTCCTTGTTTTAGAGAGCATTTTGATGACGAATCAACAGTGGGTTGTATAGGCGGAGGTACAATTTTTGGTTTTATAAGATTAGGCATAGTGGATATCCGTTTTCTTCTCTGTGGAAATCCTTCTGCATTTTTCCTGCAATCTCCATCTCCACTTTTATCACTGGTCTTTTCATTTCTGGAAAATTAAGAGAAATATTAGCTAATGACAAAACTTCTTTGAAAGATAGTAGGGTAATTATGTTATATTATAGTTAACATAATTGTACTATATTATAGTTAATTCTTATGGAAAACACTCAGATGCTCTCAGATTAATCTTGAGACCTAAACAAATATATTAGGATTTTATGGCTAAATGAATATAGCTCAATAAATCAATTTCCCAGAAAAAGAAGGATATTATCAACAAATATTTATTTGGTATATTTATACACTGCCATGATTGGTAGAAAAACGATTCAATAAGCAGGGCAAAATACTACAATTTTACAATGCAGGTTCATGAATCCAGTAGTTATTTAATAAAAAAACTTCTGTGAATATTTTGGGTTTCCTGATCTATACATACCAACTCAGAAATAACTACTACTGAGATTAGTGGGATTTACTTCCATATAAACATATAAAATATATCACAATGCTATAATTAAATCCTGTGCACGTCTGTTAAGAACTAATTAATCTATTTTTATTTTGTGATCTGATTTTGAAAGGCAGAAATACTTTTAAAAACATTAAAATACCATCATGATGACAAGAATAAAAAAGAAAAATGTTAATAAACAGAATTTCAACAACTTTGGTCATATTTTTTAAATATGTACTGAAAACTGATAAATTAGGTTACAAGCAACACATATCAAAAATCTTGCTGCAAGTTAAGTCTCGATTTTTTCCTTTTAATGTTACAGAGTTATTATCTGAGCTCTCTCTGTCTCTGCTTGTACTACAATGTATGTAACACTGTACAAGTAGTCTTTGACTTACAATCACAATGAAGCCCAAAATTTCTGTTACAAAGCTGCAAAGTGAATTTTGCTCTGTTTTGCAATCTTTTTTGCCACAGCTGTTCAGTGAATCACTGCAGTTGTTGAGTTAGTTACACAGTTGTTATGTGTATCTGGCTTCCCCATTGATTTGGCTTGTCAGAAGATCACAAAAAGGGATCATGTGACCACGAGAGACTGCAACCATCATAAATATGAGTCAATTGCCAAGCATCCAAATTGTAATCATGTGATTATGAGGATGCTGCAATGGTCAGAAGTATGAAAAATGGTCATAAGTTACTTCTTTCAGTGCTGTTGTTACATCAAACAGTCACTAAATGAACTGTTGTAAGTTGAGGACAACCTGTACATGTTATCTAATTAGTTATAAGAAGCTGATATTAAAGACTTATGAGATTGGGAGGACTTAAATAGCATAGCCCAAATTTCTGATGAACATACTGACAGCATTATTCATTGTACAGGTGACTGATAATGTTTTATATACTATATTATCATTGGATCAGAATTTGGCTAATGCAATGCTTCTGCATTATCACCACCATATTTGGAAAATTTCTCTATATCAGAACAGCAAGTTGGTAGGATTCCTACAGTCTATTTAATGCCAATTACTCTGCATATTCACACATTACAAGTCACTGGATTCAAGTCCAAACAGCTCTGTTATTAAAACACAAACCTAAAATTCTTTCACACATCTCTTTGAGATGGGAGTTTTGCTGACTCAGAAGAAAGGTATGAACCAGAAGGAAAAAAGCATTTTCAAAGCCGGGTCCTCAAATACCGTAGTAAACGAGCGTCATACATCTAATTTCAAATCTGTCTCTCAAGTCAGCTAAAAGAGGAAACAGGGAAGCTCTAATGATTTCTGGCAAGAAGACCAATGCAAAAGCATCAGTGACAAGCTAAAAACAAACCTAAGTTACCCGATACTGTTGTTACTGTCCCCGCTCAGGTGAAGATCTTCAGAGGCGGTAGCATCATCACCGGGATGGGGCACCGAATTATCCTCGGCCGTAGAAGACCAGGTGGTCGGTGTCGAGTCATGTTGGCTGTCGGCATCAGCGGTGGCGGCGGAGGCGGCCACCGCCGGGATAACTGAGCTTGTGCTGCCTCCACTATGGCCGCTTCTCCCTGCAGCATTCGGCCGTACATTGGGCTTCACGCTAAACCTGGCGCGGCGGAACATGGTGTCGCGAGGGAGAAGCTCCGGCACTAGTAAAAGTCCAGCGTCGCCGGCGAGGCCGCCTCATGTCACCGGCCCCGCTCGGTCCAATTCCAGCTCCCCGCCCTTCCTTTCTGGGAGAGGACTGAATCAGCTGCTCCTAGATGGCGTTAGTCGCGTCATCATTCTGCGACAAAGCAACCAGAAAGGTTTGGTTCTTATTAACTGTTCGCCTGCAATGCAGAAATTGAATATACTAAAGAAAGGGCAGGTGGTTTGTTAATTCATCGTTGGATACGAGATGGGTGGCAAATACATTTTCTAAATAAATCCCATATCTGGTAAAGCCTATGCCATTTTCTATATTTCGTTCCATCTAAAGTCTTGTTCTTATCGCCACCCAGTTGCGCAATTCTGTATCATTATCCTGATTATTTTCATTAAGAATGCCTTAGCCTACAATTCCATTAATGGGGAAGAAGGGACTGTAATTTCCAGAATTTTACACTGAGACACAAGATTAGAAAAATGCCATTATTATAGAAATAGTGTGAGATAAGAACGTAAGTGCCTCTTGAGTTCAAAGATTTTAAAATGTATGTCCTAGTGCAGGAGGAGGCAATTGTGACTTCAATTGCATTAATATAAAATTCACTCTGATACAACAATAGAGAGTAAATCCACTCCCTCTTCCATGTGACAGTCATTCAGATAGTTAAAGATTGTTTCCTTATCTCCTCAATCTTCACTTTTTGTAGCTAAATGCTTCCAGATTCTTTAAATACATCATTTCACACAGGACTTGATTTTCAAACCTCTTACAATCTTATAGTTAGCTAATTCCAATTTCTCATTATTCTTTTTGAACAATAGCTCATTTCTCTGAACCAAATTAATTTGATTACAATCAATGACATAACACAGTCACCAAAATGATTTATTGGAACATCTGTAAAAATTATCATGTACCAGTAATGAAAAATTATTTGAAAACCATATTTATTATTTTCACAAATAACTCAAGGCAGCAAACATATCCAAGACACCTTCCTTCTCCTATTTTCCCCACAACAAAAATCCTGGAAGGTGGGTTGAATTGAGAGAGAGTGACTGGCCCAAAGCTGGCTTTCATGGCTAAGGGGGGGACTTGAACTCATGTCTCCCACTTTCTAGCTTGGTTCCTTAACCACTAGTCTAGACCAAACTGGCAAGAACATAGAGTTGAAAAAGCAGCAAGTTAATATATCATGGGATTTCTGAACACAGACTGATAAGTTTTGGCTCATAACACACAAGACATAACTATGCTTTGAAAAAAGAAAATATGGATAATTGATGTGGCAATACCAGGGGACAGTAAAATAGAATACAAAAAATTGGAGATCTTAAGTATTAAGATCTAAAAATTGAAACTGAAAGATTATGGCATAAACCAGCTCTTGTGTTCTCAGTAGTTATCTGTCCACTGGGTGCTGATATCTAAAAAATTGGGATGGCACTTAGAACATTCAAATGTCAGTTGCAAAAGACCACAGTACTTGGACCCACATATATATTACGCCAATATATAACGTTTTAGGTTCTTGAGAAGAACCCAATGCTTATAAGACCAATAGCAGCTAAAGAACTGACAACTGACTTTCCATCGTTGTGAACAGAGAATAATAATGAGGACTAGAATCGGTGAATAAAAATGCGTTTTTCCTAGCTCTTCTTTCGATAGCAACAGGTTAGATTATTTGAATCATGCTATTCTGTTAGCAGAAAAAAAAAAAGAGTTGACTGGTGACCGCTAACTTGCAAGCTACTGCCGTAGTTCAGACCCAGCGGAAGGACTACAACTTCAGTCAGCTGCTGAAACAGACGTAACCACCAAAGGAGGCGTCTCTAGAATTGCGCAAGCGCAATAAGAGACAGGGCGTCACTGAACAGCTCAATTCGGGACGGAGAGATGTGTGGCGTGACGTCACGGAGGCGGTCCTTTACTTAATAAAAACTTCGGCGGGTGGGGCAAGCAGAAGGTTCTGGTAGTTGGAGCGGTTGGTGGGGAGTTGGACCTTGCGAGCGTAACGGTTGTTATCGCTGGGGTTATTGTTTTGCCATGGCCCGTAAGTATTCGGCCCGACTCCCCCCCTTCCCACCAGTGGGAAGGCAGGCGGTCCCTCACGCTGGGTCGGTGCCCGTTAGGGGGCGAGAGGGGCAGTTCATTGCGCATCGGGCCTTGCGGAGGCAGTAGGCCAGAGAGGGAGGCGCCTGTGCCTGTTGTTCGTGGCATCTCTGTGGTGGGCGGCGATCTTGGGGTCAGCAACCTATTTAATAAAAGTGGAAGCTTCTGCGATGTGTGTCGCAATCGGTGTTGGTTTATGGATTTTGTTACAGTCGCCGCTTATAAAGACCAATAGCAGTAAATATGCATTTACAAGGAAAAGCTGGCTGGGGAAAGGGCAGCTTTGATCCTTCGTTTCCGCGGTTTTTATCCGCTCTCGGGGCGAGGGGAGCCATTCAGTGTTTGTAAAAAGGTCGTGTTGTCAACTGTGGCCCTTATCTTCTAAGTCTGCGAGGTGAACTGACCATATCACCGAATTTATACTCAAATCTGCCTGTGGCTCGGTAGCTCTGAAAAGCTTCGAGAGTCAGCTGTGAAAAACTGTTTGGCATTTGCATTGCACTCAAGTGCAATGACCGCAGCATAAAGCATTACTTGGAAATAGTTGCTTTGCTGAGATCGAAACTGAGCACCATCCTCTATGAGTATTTTAAAGAAGCCCCTTAGCTTGTCTCCTTAAGCAGGTGTTGGCGATTGAGCGTATAGTAATTATGACTTGAACTAATGGTGGATTTCTAGAGGAAAAATAGTTCAGTGTGATCTGCTTTAAAATTACAGAAGTCTAACAGTTATTCCATAAACACAATTGGGCAAACTAAACGTATGTACTAGATTGTAGCTGAAAGTCTGAGAAATGTGTTTAGGGCTGCAACTCAGTGAATCCTTCTAAGCCAGCGGTTCTCAACCTATGGGTCGCGACCCCCATTTGGGGTCGACCATTTTACGGGGGTCGCCAAACAATGTGATCCGCCATTTTCCCCCCTCAGGGGGCGGCGCCGCGCATGCGACGGGGGTCGCCGTCACACAAACGTTGAGAACCGCTGTTCTAAGCACATTACTGCTTTGTGGATATCGCAGCTAATCCAGTAATCTGATTCATGTTTTTTTTGCATTGAAACTTTCATTCAAAAACCTGCAGTTTCTGTGCAGTATTGTATATTTAGATCTTTTGGTTTGGAAGTACAGTCCTTATTGAATGAACTGACAAACTTGGAGTTTTTTTCAGAGACCCAAATTTTTAAATGTGGTACATATACCTTATGATTATAGTGCCTCTTCACTCAAGGAACTAAAAATTATATGCATGGTTGTTTATGTTACTTGTTTATCCTTGCAGTAGTGCTATAAAATAGGTTAGCCAGAAATTGATTCAATTTTCTCCTCTAGCACATTTTTATAAAATGAGCTTAGAAATAAAAAAACACACTGTAGTAATGTGTTTATTTGATGTATTTTATTGGTTTTCAGTCCAGAAAATTGTTACTTGGCTAGAATTTAAGTTTGCTTACATTTAAGTATGCCTGAAAAGTATTGTTCCCCCCCTTTTTTTATAATAAGACTTTAAAAAATATTTTTAAAAGTTACAAGAAGCATTGGCCAAAAGTGGAATTAATAGAATTCAAAAAGATCTTATTTTCAAGACTGATTTCTAACAATGTAAGATAGATTGTAAAAGTAGATCAAAATAAAAAACCACATCCCAGTAAAAATACACTTCAAACTTGAAACATTTGCTTCTGAGATAATTGTAGGATTGAACTATTGTACATATTTTTAAAGTTTCAAAGTCATACTTAATCACCAAACTACTAAAGTGATTCAACAAATGTGCAATTTTCCTAAATTTCATAATGTCAAATAAAATCTTAAAAACTACATTATATTAGTATATTTTATATTAAGGCCCTACAATATTTTTTCATGTGTTTAGCATTTTCAAAATGTTTATATTTTGCTTAAAGACAAAGACCTGCTGAATCAGATCATAAACCTATCTACTCTCACATTCTGTATCACTGGGGCCAACTAGATGTATTTGAGAAATTCACAAGCCAGACCTAGAAGGAAGGCAACAGCCACATTCCCCTGTTGCTTTCTAGCAATAGGCATGCTATTCATAGACACTGATAGCCTGATATTCCATGAGCTATCTACTCTCCTTTTAAAACATCCAAATGGTCTACCTATTTTCACTCATGGCAGCAAATTTCAAAAATTGATATTAATATTAATAATTAAAAAGTTGGAAGGTATCTTGGGATCATCTAGTCCAATCCCCTGCTCAGGCAGAAAACCCTATACTATTTCATACAAATGGCTGTCCAGTCTTATGCTTTTAATAATGTATTATTTCAATCTAGAATCTCACTATTTAGTTTCAAAAGATTACTTTGAGTTTTAACATTATAAGGAAATTTTCTGACTTTTTTGTTATACTGTATGTGCCACTATCAAACCTTGCCCTTGCTTTTAAACTAGATTTCCACATGGTATATTCTTTTCCAGAAAGCTGCTATTTACTTTAGTGTTATGTGTAGAGAGTAAGGGAAATATCTTGATGGAAATATGCAAGAAATATTACTTAGGCAAAAGAGACTAAAACATATTTTAAATCCAGAGAAACAAGGTAACATTGGAAAGCGGCTCAAGCAAATGCCCCTTTAATATGTATGAAATATAAAAAGAGCAAGGGAGTACAATGCAATTAATCTCATTCTTCTATATGTGTGCTTATTTTTATTTTAATATTTCAACTGCTTTACCTGCAATAAATGTTTGAATTGGCCTACAGTTATCATTCCTTTAAGACGGGTCCCCAACCCCCGGTCCATGGACCAGTACCGGGCCACCCAAACAAGCAAAAGTCCATCTGCAAGATGCAGGCAGCACACAAAACCACACACTCTCTGGTCCATGGAAAATCCTCTCTCCACAGACCCGGTCCCTGATGCCCAAAAGGTTGGGGACTTCTGCTTTAAGAGGGTCACTTCAGCTATTTTAGACCTATGAAAGACATGAAGATATTTAAGATGATTTGTGAACAGATCCATTTCATATTTAAATTCTTTTTAAAAATTCTCAAGTGGATACCATTTGGACATGGGTTCATTAAATTAAATTAAGTTGGTCATTTTTAAAAATTTATATTTATGTATATCTCAATAAATTCTGCCATTTAGAATTGACATCTGTTTTGTTTCGTCAGTAGTAAAGACAGAAGCAAGTAATTCATTCTGTTCCCCTGCTGTTTCTTTATCTCTTCTCATATTTTTAATACTTCATTAGTGGCCCAGTGACCTTTATGGTTGGGTTCCTATTCCAAATCAATTTGTGGATGTTTTAATATTTTCTGCTTAATAGTCTTTTACGTACATTATTTTATCAATTGGTTGCATATATTTGCCAAAGTTTATTCTTTCCTGTTTTTCTTATTTGAGCCATTTTTAAAGTCATCTTTTGGTTATAAATACATTTCAGACTGCTATAAAGGAACAGTTGGGGGAAAAGCACAATAGGTTCTTAGAACTGCAAAGATTTGCCGTTCCTAAATATTCAATTTCCTAATTAGTTTTATAGTTTATATAATTTGGGTATGCATTTTTAAAGAGTAGTATATTAGCGCTGCCCAATGTTGATTTGTACCCTAACCCATATAGTTCTACCTAGGAATTCAGCAAAGAAAGTTTCTTGCCATGAAAAGACATCCTTGCATCCAGGACGCACTCTTTAATGCCACACTGGTAGCCGTATTTGATATTGTGGGTTGTATTTTAATAGAAAATGTAATTACCAGTAACTAGCCTAAAACCTGGTCTGTTACTTTTACAGGTGGGAACCAGCGTGAACTTTCCCGCCAGAAGAATATGAAGAAAGCCCAAGAACAGAGCAAGGGGAAAAGAAAAGAGGACGCTTTGTCAGCTTCTCAGAGGAAACAGAGGTATAGTTGCATAATCTGCGACACCTTTCATATCTTAGCTCATGAATAAATAGTACAAGTTCTGCATATAATTTTTCTATGCGCAGAAAAACTAGAAATTTTGCTCTTTTGAATGTATTGATATTAAATTGATGGATTCAGCTCAATACCTGAGATTTATTTGTTGATGTTTTGACTCTATAAAAATTGGCACCACAAACTGACTTTATTCTTTTTACAGAGATTCTGAAATTATGCAGCAGAAGCAAAAAGCAGCTAATGAGAAGAAGACTCATCAGGCAGGAGCAAAATAATATGTGGCTACAGAGAGGACCTAATAATGCTGCAGCATCTCAAAATATAAGGCCTAAAAAGACATATTTGTAAAAGTAGCCAGCCATTAAATGGTTAATGTTTATCTTCTACTTGCTTGCTTGTCCAGTATGCATTTATTTTAGAATGTATAGTGTATTTGCAGCTGACTTGGCTTTGACTGAATTACTAGATTGGATTGCATTTTAAAGTTGTATTTCCCTTTGCATGTCTGTTAGGAACAGTAGCAATAGCCAAAATGTATGTTATTGTTAAAATGTTTGCTCAATAAATTGCTTGTGTGATTATACCAATTATTATATATGCAAGGAGGCTGGGAAATGTATTTGGTAACACTCTTACATTCAGAAGTGATATTTTAAAAGGACAGGTATGTGTACTTGCTTTCCACTTTGTAAAGGTCAGCTGTAAACTTAATCATAAATTATTTTTATAATAAAAATATTGCATGACATTGTCAGAATTGGGTACTGAAGAAGCTCCAATAGATTTCAGTTATTGCTAAAAATATGACATAATTTAGGGAATCCTTTGTCACATTTAGCACAAATAACTTGTCTTTTATCATGTGTTCTAATTGCAATTTTGAGTATTTAATACCATTCTTCAGTAATTGCAAACCAAGATTCTCTATATGTAAAATTGCAATTAAAATCTAATTTGAATTAAAATATAAACTATATTTTGAGTAAAAATTGGTTCAGGATAAGTGCAGCAGTGAAGGAATGGGTTGCTTAATTTTTTTGATATGCAAGATTATTTCAAAGACAGTTGGTAAGGATCTTATTTGAACAATTAGTTTTACATGCATAATTGTGTTTCAGTTTATGACAGAACCAGACTGACCTAGAATTAGATCTAGAGAATCTTATGACAACAGCAACTTCTTCTGAACAATGAAATTTTATTAGCATACATGTCAGTTGGAAGAGGATAAATCAGGGTGACCTTAACTTAATTCTGAACACTTCAAAGACTGTGTGCTAGAGCATACAAAGAACTAATTGCATTGTTTGAAAGGTACAGATAATTCAGAGTCTTTTAGGTCAGAGAAAGCAATTTTTATTGCAACAAAGTAGATATTTTGAAAATGGCTACTAGCTGTGATTTAATTTTTAAACAAGTATTGTGATTTAAATGTGATACATTGGTATAAAACTTAAAGTAGAGATAACCTTGCGTCTTTCCTATGATGTTACTAAATTTTAATTACACGTGAGAATAAAAAATAGGTGGATTTTAGTTAAGACCAACTTGGAGTTTAGGTAAAAAAAAAAATGGTCTTCTGGATTAAGAATAATTTGTAGATATTACAGATTCAGTTCCAGAAAGGTGCTTTAGAACATATGGCAACTGTAAAATGATTGAGAATTAAGAAATATTCCTAACATCTTACCCTACAGCCAGTTTCTATGATACAGTATGTGTTTTGTCTTCATTAATTGGACAACGACTAGCTGACAACAAAAAGTTAAAGAGATGGGATATCTTTACTGCCATCTAGAAATCGTTTGGATTTTTGCAGCTTTGCTGTAATAAAACCCCATTTCACATATGTTTGCCCTCTTTTCTTCTGTTTGCACTGTAATCAGCAGGAACAGAATTGTGGCAAAGATAATAGAGTACTTATAAAAATCAATTTAAATTAAATTCTTTTTTTTCCAAGCAATATAGTTACTGTATTAGAGTCTTTCTCACAGTCTTTATCATTCATTCAAGTAAAACGGGGTAAGTATTTTTGTTTTAAATATTCTCTGTAAAGAATTTAGGGGTATTATATTTTACTAAAATTTAACAGTGTAACCCTCATAATTACATAGGCATCTGACTTGTGAGATTAAATTTATTGCATGTACTAGGATGCATTATATTTAGCGTCTGTGGGTAGCAGCGCATGGCTTTTTCTTTAGGATTGAAAAAAATTGTCAGATTAGGAAAACTACCACAAAAATCTTAAAAGTTGTATGCTAGCCATGAAATTGAAAAACTTTCCATAATAAGGCAGGGGCAAATGATTTTTGTATTGTCAAGAAAACTGCAATATGTTAATGATATCACCAAGAGTAAAGTCAGATTCAAATGAAATCTGTGCGTTAATGTAGACAGAACTGAGTTGTATAAATAGAGAAGAAACACTGGATGAGGAGATATTTGGTCCCAAAGGATATTTCATCGTAAATGCATTCTATAACAGATTATCAAAGAGCCATCCATCTTTCAAAAATCTTTCAATCATTCTTATAAATTTATAGATCTTAATAATTATTGAAATATATTTTTGTCATTTTCAAAACAAATGTAGTGGGTGGATTACAGAAGTATCCTGAAAAATGCATTGCCATTTTAAATGCAATGTGTGAGGAGCAAATAAGAATACAGCAGCATGGAATGAAATAAAATCATTTGAAAAGAATGGTTCCTTACTTTTGAACATCAAAATTTTAAATATAAAAAATGAAAAGCCTTTTAATTCATGAAAAGCTCAGCATAACAATGGGATTATTACCCACTTGTTTTCTTGCTTGGCATTAAGCCAAGTGAGGTACAAAAGCAGTAAGGAAACAAACACCTAGAGCAGTGGTGGCAAACCTATGGCACAGGTGCCAGAGGCGGCATTCAGAGCCCTCCCTGTAGGCACACACACCATTGCCCCAGCCCCATCTCCCCCATGGCCCCCTCCTCACCAGCAGCACCCCAGAGGAGAGCCACTCCCAGGTGCAGCCTGCATGGAGCAGTGCAGCCAAGGATATGGCAGCTGGGCAGTAGGGACAAGATTCTGCCCTCACGCCCTGTTGCGTGCAGATGATACTGCGGGGCTCAGGTGGAGGGTGTGGCTGCCATGGTACTGCAGGGCCGCCTGGGCGATTGGCGGGCCGTAGAGGTGGGTGGCTTTGTGGGCGGGGGCGGGGCGCTTTTTCAGCACTCAGTCTCTAAAAGATTCGCCATCACTGACCTAGAGAATTTTCTATTTTGTGTTAAATTTGACTACCGTTAAAGTTTTATGCAAAAGCTAGAGGACCAATAGATAACAGTAAAGAGAAATGCTTCAAATATTGTAGCTCTAGTACTACTCACCTCAATTTGGGAGTTGGTGGATGTTGGTTGACCATTGGTCATGTAATACTTGGCACAGATCCTGATAAACGGACTTCAGCTTTTGGCCATTAGTTTAGCCCTTACTGTATTTTGTCAAAAGAATATTGTAATACCCTACCTTTGGTTGCTAACAAAAAGCATTCTCTTTGGTGATGGTGGAAGGGAGACACTTATTTTTAAATGCACTAATGGATTGCATTAATAGCAACTGGCAGGTACTCCATCCTGCTCCTTGGTACTGTACCAATTACTGATCAAATTGACACAAACACACTTTGCGAAGAGGTGAAATTAAGTATAGTGTGCTTACATAACTGTGTTGACCTAAGCCAGGATAGAAATTGGCAGACAGTTCTAGTTCTGCCTTAGGCATGAAAGCCAGCTGGATGACTTTGGACCAGTCAGTCTCTCTCAGCCCAACCTACTTCACAGGTTGTTTGGAAAAGAAGTGGAGGAAGGAATATTAGGTATGTTCACCACTTTTAATTATTTATAAAAGTAATAAAGGCAGGATAAAAAAAATCTAAGCAAGAAGAAATGGGTCAATTGATGGTGGGTAAAGGATTGTCAGATTAATTAAATTTATGGGCTACGCCAAGCAGAACACTGGCAGTCCCTTGGAGATAGGAATTGAGAAGGGTGGTATGCTTGTGGCTATAGAATCATTCTTGGAAAATCTTGGATTTTCTTAGGATAAAAAATGATTCCCAACCTGCTGCTTCCTGTAGATTATGCTTCCCCAAATCACTCGCTGTTGCCCGAGTTGGCTGCGAATTTGGTAGGTTGTGGCTTCCCTGTTGGAAAACGCCGAGCCGGTCTCCAACTGAGCAAGAGCCGGGGTTTGACGGCCGTTACCAACGAAGCGATGATCTCCTGGCAGCCTCCCAACCAGTAGGGGACGGTACCGCGCCTTTGCCGCGCAGCCGGCCGCGCTTGCGGAAGCCTCGTTGGCCTGACCAATTCCCATGAGATACTTAGCGAAGGAGGCCGGCAGTATCCGCGAAGTGGCCTTCGGGAAAGGCGCTTTACTTCAGTCGTTTTCCGCTTTTCAGTCTGGCTCAGAAGTTCACATGGCTTCTCGCGAAGGGGGCGATGCGGTCCTGTTCAGACGGGGGGGCGGGCAGGTAACGGTGCTAGGCGTGTCGCCTTTCCATCTTGATAACCACGGTCGCGGTGACTGGCCGGTGGCTCTGAAGCTATTCCGCTTGGAAGCGAAGGAAAGGAAATAGCGACGGAGCCTAAGCCCCTTAACTTAAAGGAGGAAACGTGGGGGCCGGGGGGAGGGGGCTGGCCGGAATGGCGTTCGGGCTGCCCGAAATGTGGAGAAGCGCGAGGCTCCTTTCAGCAGGGCGAAGAAGCGCCCGAGTTTCTCGACCTGGGAGCTGCGCTGGATACAGAGCAAAACGGCTCGAACCTTGCCGGAATTTCAGAAAGAGTTTTGTCGTGCTGCAGGGCAGGGAAGCGTGTAAAGTTGCTGTTTTTTTCATTCCACGCGATAGAGTCAACTTGGCTGGTTCGCGTCACCCAGAGCTTCGGATCCAGCATGTCAATAGTATTCCTGAAACAAAGTAAAAGTGATGTCCGACAAAAGCCAAGATTATTCACACTGCATGGTTCATTGTTGAGACTGGGGTGTGTGTGTGTTTTAACTTCAGAAAAATACGTTTTTTATTCTGCTTTTCACAGAGTGATGATTCTGATATATGGGATGATACAGCCCTGATAAAAGCGTATGACAAAGCTGTTGCATCTTTTAAGGTAAAACACACAATGGAATTTCATGCTCACTATGCAAAAATATTGTTTTTCCTGAAATGTATACATCATATACGTTTTGATTCTTGAACATTAAACTAGCTAGAAACCAAAGAGAAAATTCTAAAGAAATAATTTTCCCTATTAGAGATGTAGTCAGAGTACAAAAGCTTCACACACTGCACTCAAAATGCAAAACATTTCAGGAAGAACATGTTTATATGAGGGCAATTAGGAAATAAACCTCCATTTGGTTATCAATGACAGATACTTGCAGATACAGAACTTTTATTATATATATATTAGAAAGCTACAACATTACATTACTTTTCGACATAATCACCATTCAAATTGAGGCACTTGAGGCGTCTTGCAAGATTTGAAATCCCTTAATAGTAGTCGTCGCTCGGCGCCAGATCTGGGCTTCAAAAGTTCTTGGGGGGGGTATAGCGGTGTGCGGGCCAGCATTATCATGAACCAACACCACACCGGAAGTGGTGCCATAGAAAACCCCGCCAAATGTGAAGATGCCAAAGGAGTGCTCCTAATGAAGTTCATGGAGCATGGTTCAACCATCAGTTCAGAAGTTACTGTGAAACCTTACGAAAACTCAGACAAGCCATCCATAACAAACATCAGGTATAATAAAAGTTCTGTGAGTGTCTGTCATTGATAACCAAACGGAGGTTTATTTCCAAATTGCCCTCATATACAAAGGCATTTTATTTTCTAAATTTTACTTGTTATTTATCTTGGGGTGGGGATGAACTATGTGCCAGGACTAAGCCCCAGGTTGGCTACTCTTCAGCTCCCCAATGATACTCTGGTTAATTTAATTTTGTAACAAATTTTGTAAGAAAATCAATATAGATTTTTAAAGAGACTTTTTATTTTAATAATATATTCTAGTTAAATAGCCAAAATTACAAGTTGTATGTCTTGTGCCTGCAGCATCACCTTTATGCTTAACTATTTATGTAGAAGCAAGCAAACTAAATTTGAACTAATATGTCACATTTTCATTTTCTGAGAATTATATATCACTTGAAACGGGTGTCAAACTCAATTTCATTGAGGGCCGCATCAGCACTGCAGTTGCCCTTGGGGGGCTGAGTGGGTGTAGTCAGGCTGGGTGCAGCCTAATGAGTGGGCGTGGATGGATTGGGTGTGGCCTACTGGGTGGGCATGGCCAGCTCTACATCGTTCGCGTCAAGGGTGCCTGTGGGGGCCTGGGTAGGCGTGGGACAGATCTGAGGGTCTCTGGTGAAGGGGGTGGGACCGGGGCAAGCGCCAAGTCATGGTCCATTACTCCATTCTCACAAAGAATGACACTTCCCCAGCATGCACCTAGGGGGCGGGGCCGACACAGCAGAGGCTGGTTCCTCACTGTTTCTAGATGGCCTTGTGGAGCTAAGACTGAATGCATTTCAGCATAGATGGCCATCACAAAATTGTACAGTGGCTCCCGGCCGGCCAGGGCCAAGGCAGCGGGGGCCGTTCCCTCACTGTTTCCAGGATGGCTTCGCGGGCCACATGAAACCACTTCATGGGCTGCATCCGGCCCCCGGGCCTTGTGTTTGACATATCTGACTTGAAAGCTTACAGAAGTTCTTAAGAACTACATGATAGAAACCACAGTTTGAAAGAGAAAAAACCAAACTATCTGCTTATATGATACTCAGACACATCACAAAACTTCGAAGGATTGCTTGTACAGTCCCAAGAAGTTTTTTTTACATGTTTTGATTTATTACATTCTATATGTTACATAATTATTTCAGATTGTTTAAAATATATATATTATATTTAAACAATCATAATACAGTTAAAAGATTGGTAGTTGTAAAATGAAGTTTTACAGTGGGTGTTGAATATATAAGCAGCTGGTTGCAGAACCAATGAACTTGAAAATTAAGGGAGTTGGATCTAATTAACATTTGATTGAAAGTCTATCAGGATTTTCCCAAAGTTAGACTAGGTAGTGGAAAGCCAGTTGCCAAGGAAAATACATCTATGAACCACCAGGAGTCAAGCTGAACTTGAAGAAATGTCTATTTTTACTAATTTCTTTACTTTCTCCCACAGAATGCCTTGAAGAATGGTGACTGTTCAGAGCCTTTGGACAAAACTGAGCAAAATGCTGGAACAAAAAGAAAAAACAATAAAAAGAATAAGAGTAGAAAGAAAAATAATGCTACAACACAAAAACAGGTTGTTGGTTGTATAATAGTACACTGCATTTAGAATTAATAAAAGAACAATCGAATTAATTAAAATCAATAAAAGAATTCATAATAATTGTTTTATTGAAAAAAACATTTTAAATGGACTTCAAAAAGGAATTAAAAATCTGAAATAAAAAGACAAAAATTGTTCCCTGGCATGAAACAGAGAAGAGGCAAAGTTTCAATTATCTAATTCTGTTTCACATGAAATTTGATAGAGAAATGGAGACATCGGCTATTTACCAAGATTTAAGCTTTTTTGGTAGGTTAGTTGTTTTCCAGTTACTGAAATAGTTTACTACTGTTATAAAATGGTATGTTTATGAAAACTTGTACATGTTGTATTATTTTAACCTGTGTTTCTAATGCATTAAAGCTATTTCAGTAAGAATAATAAATCAGGGACCCTTAAAACATGAACTGCAAATTTAAAAAGTAACTTGATTGAAGTGACAAGATGTCCGGGCTGGAAATGTACTTTGTATTTAAATAGTAAGATTGCTATCCTGCTTAGGATAAGCTTTTGGGGGGCATTATATACATATTTAAGTGCCAGAATAAATAATAATTACAAAAAACTAAGAATTTATGAAATAGCAAGAGCATTGTTCTACAAAAGACTATTTTTTCTTTATAATTATATAGTACAAATCCAAGGAAGCAATTGGATCAAACCCAAGGCAAAAAAAGTATAAGATACATATTTGTGTATCTTATAATTTAAACAAATATAAGATATATATATATATATATAGATAGATAGATAGATATAGATAGATAGATAGATAGATAGATAGATAGATAGATAGATAGATAGATAGATAGATAGATATAGATATAGATATAGATATATAGATATAGATATACAGATACAGATATAGATATAGATAGATATATATCTTATATTTGTTTATCTTTAAAACTGGTACAATATGAGCTGGTCTGATTTACCATTATATCCCAAAATAAAACAAAACTTTCACTTACACGCCTTCCACTTTATTCAGATTTGCTTTTTTATCTTTCCATCAATCCATTAATAAATTCAGAACTACTTTAGCTGTTCAGAATGCTTGCTGTATAAAAATAATGTCACAACTTTTATGCCAGAAATTGGATAGTAAATATATAGTAAGGTGAGAAAAAAAATGATTTGAAGCATCATTAATGTAACATTTTTCTTTTCAATGCAGTGGAGAGTTAATGATGTATGTAGCGCAGTTTGGTCTGAAGATGGCAATGTATACCAAGCAACTATTACCTCAATTAACTGGAAGAAAGGAACTTGTGTAGTAGTTTATACTGGATATGGTAATAGGGAAGAGCAGAAGTTATCAGATCTTTTACCACCGATGGATACTGAGGGAACTAATGAAGAGAAAAGTGCTGCTGAGGTAAAGCAAATGTAACAACCTATACCAAATAGGAAAAATATTGCAAGTGTTAAGGTTCTAACAGAAGTAGATTGCATTTAAAGGCAAATATATGTTTTCTTTGTAGATTCTATACAGGAGGAATAATGTAGGTATGTAATAGTTTTATAGGTTTCCCATCACTCTCTTTAATATCTTCACATTCAGAGTTGAACTTCCACAATGTAAGGTGTTCCATAAGTTTCCTGTGCAATAGAGAATCCTGATCTTGTTTCAAGGTTCTGCATCACACACAGAGCCTAAATGGATATAACAAATGTCCTATTGCAGAAGTTTGCCTTGCACTTAAGATGGCAATTGAAGAAAGCTCATGTTCTTATTTCCGTTATTCTTTTTCATATAATTTCACAAAGAAAATATCAGGAAAAGATATTGTGTGATAAGAAAAAGCAATACATATGAAATACAGCGTTATTCTGCAGTTGAGTGAGCTTCTTACTTAGCTACTTAAGGCTCTTATTGAGCTCTAGTATGATCCTAGTTACATAGGCCATTGTTTCTTTCACTCCCCAGAGCTGACCCAGAACATTCTGATAAATGGCTCATAATTAAAATAAATACAGGTAATCCCCCGAGTTACCAGTATTTACTTAATGCTCGTTCAAAGTTACGTGATGAGTGCTTCCTAATGCTTACGAGCAAGTCCTGAAATATGAATGTTGCCACACCACGGCAGTCATTCAACCTTACGAGCGACTGCAGTGGCACTGCAACATTCATCCTGGTTATTTCCTCCCTCCCCACTCCATCCAGGTCTTCCTAGGAACCAGGTCTTTAGTATTCACCCTGCGAAGATCGAGATTGTTCACTTTCTTGGCTGCTCCGGGCCTTCGATGCATTCACAGAGAATAGAGGCCTAAAGTAACACAAGATCACACGAGATCTTACGTTACTGATCTCGCGTGATCTCACGGTACTTTAGATCTCTGTTCTCTGCAACAGAGAATGGAACCGAAGCCGGGGGACACTTCCACGTGCCTCCGGAGGCTGGATCCAGGCTCCAGAGGTCTTTTCCAGGCCGCTGCCACCTGGATCTCAGGCTGGGGGACGCTTATGTAGCTCTCTGGCAGCCTGTTTCCGGGTGGCAGCGGCCTGGAAAAGGCTTCTGATGCCAGGATCAGGCCACGGGGGGGGGGGCGTGGAATTGTCCCCCAGCTTCAGATCCGGGCGGCAGCAGAAACTGCGGCAGAGAAGATGGATCTTTTCCAGGTGAGTCCAGCGCAGCAGGAAGGGAAAGGGAAGCATGAGGTATCTTAGTGGGTTGGGGAGGCCTTGGGGGCCTGTTCTATCGGCCTTCCATGGCCTGTCCCACCCTGAGATACCTCATGTTCTCTTAACAAGCCACGTGCATCTTAACGAGCGAGGGAGTGATCTCGTTCAATTCACTCTTGAGTTTTCAAATTATGAATGGAATGGGCAAGCTCCATTACACTCATTGAGGGTTACCTGTAGTTTATACTTGCTCCCTTTATATTTTTGAAATATCTCCACATAACCTATTGTAATTTTCAAATCAAGGCTACCAACAGAGAAATACATTTGCAGCTTAATAAGTTCAACTAATTAAAAAGTTACATCCTGTCCTCATTTAGTGACCACAGTCTATTCCAGCTATTTTGTGGTTATTATCATTATTGTTATTTTTACTGGTTGCTAAACAAATTAGTCACTAAAATGGCTGTTCATAGGGGAAGTTATTGAAGCTATTTGGTTATTCTGAAATAGGGATTTTAGCAGTTGCATTTAAAACAGTATATTTTACAGAGAATAGAATGAAAACAAAAAGTGCAATATATTTTGTAATTTTAAATATCTGCTGCACATTCATAAAATTTAATGTATTTTTTTTTATTAGAATGAAAATGAGACTCAGTATTCAACGGATGAAAGTGACTTTTCCTTCCGGTCACCTCAAAGCAAACACAACCATACAAAATCAGCGCAGTGGAACACCCACTTTCCTCGTCCATCATCACCTTCAGCACAAGGATCAGAAAGGGTAAGTTTATAAGCAAGTTTGAAAGCTTTACCTTACTAAGCAGTGGCGTTCACAAAACTAAGTTGTTATATTAAAACTTAAAGTGCAGTATTGAAACTAATTTTATGAGGAAGGACATATTGGAAACTATTCAAACAAACATGCTATCAGTTTAATAATTGGGTTGTTCATATTGGATGGGAAAGACTCCTATCAGAATCAATAGAGTATCGCTGCAGGTTAGTAGGTTATATTGAAGGAGATGAGTAAACACAGTTGTCTGAAAAAGTATATGCCCCTCTCAGATTTTCTGATTTTTTAAAAAAGCTTTGATACTGAACATTATCAGAACAGAACTTTGTGTGAATTGTATCAATGTGTAAAGAGAATCTGAAAAAAATAAACATTTACTTTTTCTGCTTTGTGCATAAACAAAACCATCCAACAAGTAGTGTGCCAGTGTGAAAACCTAATTGTCTCTCTATTTCATGCAGCTCAGTTAAAAAGGATGACCAGGGCAGCTGTGTGAGTGTTTCATTAAAAGGGTTGATTTGAATCAAATCTACCCTCATGGATTCTGGAGGCATGTCATGTCCCACTCAGAAGAAATTTCTGAGAATTTTGAAAAATACAAGTAGTCCTCGACTTACGACCACAATTGAGCCCAAAATTTCTGTTACTAAGTGAGAGTTTTGCCCCATTTTACTACCTTTCTTGCCACAGTTGTTAAGTGAATCACTGCAGTTATTAAGTTAGTAACGTAATTAATTAAATTGGCTTTTCCCATTGACTTCACTTGTCAGAAGGTTGCCAAAGGTGATCATCACATGACCCTGGGACACTGCGACCATCATAAATATGAGTCGGTTGCCAAGCATCTGAATTTTGATCATGTGACCGTGGAGATGCTACAATGGTTGTGTGAAAAATGGTCATAAGTCACTTTTTTCAGTGCCATTGTAACTTTGAACAGTCACTAAATGAACTGTTGTAAGTCAAAGACTACCTGTAATGAAGCTTATCCATTTGAAAGAAATTATAGAAACATTTTTACAGTTCTGTGGTTCAATTAATATTGACTTAAAATAAGAAATTTTGGAGAACAGTTCATATTCTTTAGAGTGACTATTCTCATAAAATCCCTTCAAGAGAACATTGTTAAACAAACAAACAACTAGGGAGGCACAAAATACTTTGTAGAAACACCCGGATCTGCAGATCTTTTCCACTTTGGCTAAAGTCACACCACTATCAGAAAATCACTGGAATTTGTAAAAATGGAATTCATGGCTAAGAAGAGAAAAACCCATAGCTCACTAAGAAAAATATTGATGCCCACGCCCCAATGCCCACATCCTCTGCACACAGCACAAATGCCTTTCTCCCAACCCCGGAGACAATGCATTCCAACTAACCCTATCTATCTGGCTCCAGAATGAATGGATCATTCTAGTCTATATTAACTTCAACTCGCATATCAACTCCATGGTAGGCCATCCCCTCAACACAAACTTTTATTCCCCAAGACAAGAGATGGCCACTGCATTCAGCAGCAAATTATTTGAAGCCAAGCCAATAGTACAACTTCTTTATGCCCAGCTGGGTCCATTTTCCAGTTTTGCACCATTAGAACTTGTTCAGTCCAAATTTCTAAAATCGATCCTTCAAGTCCCAAAATGTGTTTCTAATGGCACCATAAGATTAGAAACAGGTCTCAAGAAAGTGAAAGTTAGAGTGTGAATGTCCATTACCCAACTATTGGCTTTTTTCCTCTTGGCTTGCCCCACTAACTATGAGGGATGGCTTTCAGTCTACATGGAAAAAGATAGTGGCAACTAAATCTCATCCTCAGGCTTTTTTTCCAAATCAGGCTAAATCATTATTTAAATACTATGTAGCAGACACAGAGCATCAGTTGGGCTACATAGCTAAGATACCAACCTTTATTCCCAGGGAAGCCAATAGGCATGATTTTGATTGTACTCCACCCTCCTTATGCTGGTGTTTGACCATCATAAAGTTTGATTGATGCTCATATCAGGTTTGCCCAAAAGCAAATTGATGTTTCTCTAGGTTTGTTTTATGGACTGTTGAGTCATGCATGAATATGGCAGTGTAATTGATTAAGAGTGCTTTGCTGCTCTAGGCTGGAAGGAAATTCCCTGGGCCTCCACCTTTCTTATCAGGCTGGTCTACACCATTTCCCTCAGGACCACCGGTGAGTGATGAGAGGCAATAAAAGGCATGTCATGTTGTGAGAAATAATCTATGTTGTTGGGTTTCTAGTTGAGAATTGTCATGAAATGTTCCTCTATCATTTTTATTTCATTAATCTGGTTGATTTTGCAGTAAGGATTTGTTTGAATTTAATAAGCAGTAATAAAAATGTATAAATTAAATTAGAAGTTACTAATTCTGAACTTGTGTATTGTGGTTTTAGCTAGTTAAAAATGTCATTGTTGTTTCTAAGATGAGTGCTTTCTTTTTTGTTTGTACAAACTAATGTTTCTCTACCTTGGATACTTTAAGATATGTGGATTTCAATTCCAAGATTTATCCAGCCAGCCTTGAGAAACACTAAAAACTAGCTGATAAATTTGTCCTTTATTTTTCTAGTTGATACCACCTCCTCCACTTCTTAGTTCAGATTCACCTGATGATGATGAAGCTTTAGGAAGTATGTTAATAGCTTGGTATATGAGTGGCTACCACACTGGCTACTACCTGGTGAGGCATTTTTTTTTCATATTAACATGCAAACTGCCTAGCTTATCAGATTTATTGCTGCTAAAAATAAAATAAAAATATGATTTGTTACAGTATGGCTTTTTTGAAAGAAATGTCCTATATACAGAGATTGATATAAACACTTAGTGTAAATATTAAACCATGTAGTTTAAAGGGAGAGTTCCTCATTTCTCCAGCTTACAATAAGCCATCTTTATTTTGTATTCTATTTTCTATTTGTATTTTGGTTTTCTATTTCTGTTTAATTATTGTAAGTGATGTGCTTATAAATTGGCTATCTGCTTCTCTGGGTTATATCTTTAAAAATATACAACAGTAATTTTAGGTTAATAGATAGTACTACTACCTAATAGTGACAATATTATTTATAATTACTCTTTTCTTCAATCAAAAGACTCCCAGAACTTCATTAACTTCCTGCTCATAAGTTCCAGTCTATCAGAAAAGGGAATGGGATAAGATTATAATCGTTGATGGCTGCTAATTAAATTGTCTACATGGATCTGTTCTATGTTGGATTGCACTAAGCTCTACACTGTAATCTTTTCACCACCTGACCTGTTAGGTTCCTCTTTTTTCATATGCTTCATTCATATTTCAAAGAGCATTGGGCCAAAAAAACAAATCTGGCAGTTCTTAAGATTTTTTATTTAGACAAATAAACAAAGTTCTTTCAGCTTAACTATTTTTTTCATAAATGTCAAAAATATCAGTGTTAAAGAAAAATAATCAAAATCCTCTGGACAGAAAACATGAAATATTTTTCATATTATTCTGAATCTGCAGTGATATGTTTATTGCAAACACATTTCTTGTGTGAAAAAATGAGAGAATATGTATAAGAAGAACTCTAAATACCATTGATGATGTTCTAGGAATTTCAGCAATAAAATCTTGCAGCTAATAATGTGAAATGGGATGTTGATGGTGGCAAGAGGCTTATAAGACTATCAAATCAAAAAGAAGACTCAAAGTGGTATACAACATAAATACTATAATGCCAGCTTGCTGAGTAAATGTACAAACAAGAAAATAAAGCCAAAGTCTTAACACTTTTCTAAAGCACAACTGGCAAAAGAGACATGGGAAAGAATGGTATTCCAGAGGGCAGGAATTGCAGTAGTTTGGATTAAAATTACCACTTTTCTATTTCATCATAAACTAAACTTGGAACCAAAGCTATTTGCTTTGAAATCATTTGCTTATAATTTGTGCTGCAAGGGAAAAAACACAAGCTATATAGCTCATGGATTTGCACATAAATTGTTAATACCGTTGATTGTGGAAGCCCTTCCTGCTCACTTTTTGCAGGGTGGTTTTATCACTGGATTTTTATTTGTGTTACCTGTTTCTTGCAGGACAGCAAAATGTATTAATCTTTAACTTCAAACTGTGTATTACATTGCATAGGGTTTAAAGCAGGGCCGAGCGGAAGCTTCTGTGGGAAGACACACTCACATGAAGTAAGTCTGGTAAGAATGGCATCTTATTGGCATTGTGCAGTAGAAGATATTCCTTTGAATGTATTAAGAGGGTGCTTGGCCAAATATCATTTCAGAATATAGTGTGGGGGGGGGAGTTATTTAATCCCCTGCTGATTTTGTACATTTGCCCATTGACAAAGAAATGATCAGTCTATAATTTTAATGGTAGGTTTATTTTAACAGAGAGAGAATAACAACAAAAAAATCCAGAAAAACTCATTTCAAAAAAGTTATAAATTGATTTGCATTTTAATGAGTGAAATAAGTATTTTACACCTTCTTAAAACATGATTTTAGTACTTGGTAGCAAAACCTTTGTTGGCAGTCACAGAGGTCAGACATTATTTATAGTTGGCCACCAGGTTTGCACACATCTCAGGAGGGATTTTATCCCACTCCTCTTTGCAGATCCTCTCCAAGTCATTAAGGTTTCAAGGCTTGGCAGCTCGAACCTTCAGCTCCTTCCACAGATTTTCTATGGGATTAAGGTCTGGAGACTGGCTAGGCCATTCTAGGACCTTAACGTACTTCTTCTTGAGCCACTCCTTTGTTGCTTTGGCTATGTGTTTTGGGTCATTGCCATGCTGGAATACCCATCCATGACCCATTTTCAATGCCGTGGCTGAAGGAAGGAGCTTCTCACCCATGATTTGATGGCACATGGCCCTGTTCATTGTCCCTTTGATGTGGTAAAGTTGTCCTGTTCCCCTTAGCAGAAAAATACCCCCAAAGCATAATGTTTCCACCTCCATGTTTGACGGTGAGGATGGTGTTCTTGGGGTCAGAGGCAGCATTCCTCCTCCTAACACGGTGAGTTGAATTGATGCTAAAGAGCTCGATTTTGGTCTCACCTGACCATAATAATTTCACCCAGTTCTCCTCTGAAACATTCAGATTTTCGTTGTCAAACTTCAGATGGGTCTGTACATGTGCTTTCTTGAGCAGGGAGACATTGCAGGCGCTGCAGGATTTCAGTCCTTCACTGCGTAGTGTGTTACCAATTGTTTTCTTGGTCCCAGCTGCCTTCAGATCATTGAGAAGATCCTCCCATGTAGTTCTGGGCAGATTCCTCGCTGTTCTCATGATCATTGAAACTCCACGAGGTGAGATCTTGCATGGAGGCCCAGACCGAGGGAGATTGATAGTTATTTTGTATTTCTTCCATTTGCGAATAATCGCACCAACTGTTGTCAACTTGTAGCCCATTCCAGTCTTTTGTAGATCTACAATCTTGTCTCTGACATCCTTGGACAGCTCTTTAGTCTTGGCCATGGTGGAGAATTTGGAATCTGATTGATTGCTTCTGTGGACAGGTGTCTTTAATATAGATAACAAGCTGAGATTAGGAGCACTCCCTTTAAGAGATTGTTCCTAATCTCAGCTTGTTACCTGTATAAAAACCACCTGGGAGCCAGAAATGTTGCTGATTGATAGGGGATCAAATACTGATTTCACTCATTAAAATGCAAATCAATTTATAGCTTTTTTGAAAAGCGTTCTTCTGGATTTTTGTTGTTGTTTTTGTTGTTGTTATTCTGTCTCTCACTGTTAAAATAAACCTACCATTAAAATGATAGATTGATCATTTCTTTGTCAGTGGGCAAACATACAAAATCAGCAGGGGATCAAATACTTTTCTCCCCCACTGTAGCATGTCTTGTAATCTTTCTTAGTAGCATCTAGAACTCATAGAATACAATTACTGAATCCAAAATTGCTGCAGAGGTTATGGATTGGTAAAATCATTGGAAGTAGTTATTCCAATTTAGATTATTTATATTTTACAGGCCCAAGAAGAATAAGTGCTTAAGCATCAGATTTATAGCAGTTATAAGAAATCTGGAATAAGGCTGGCGGTTCGTTCTCCGAGCTTGTGGGTTGGTTTCCGAAAGTTTCATTCCCAGGCTAGGTTAACATCTTCAACAGAGTTTAGGGGATGTCAGTGTCAGTGTTCCTCTGGCCACATGAAGCCCTTATAAACAGAGGAACACTGACACTGACATCCCCTAAAGTCCCCTGAAGATGTTACCTAGCCTGGTAACAAAACCTTCAGAAACCAACCCACAAGCTCGGAGAATGAACCACCACCGCCATTCTACACCCGAGCTACAGACATTTGCCACCATCGCAAATCTGGAATAAATCATAATAGCATTGGCAAAGGTTCCCAAATGAATTTGCTTTCCCACATGATGTTTTTGACAATCTGTCAGAGAGAAAGTTTTCCCCCTCTACCCTTGTTAGCAGAGGAATCTCACAGATAACAGATAATGCTGAGAGATGACAGTTTTCCACGGTCTACATTATTTTCACTGCTGGCAAGATACTAACAATGTTGCTGTTATTATCTTGTGTTCATTTTTAGGTGAATATTCTGGACAGATTGAATAAACATTCAGATAAATTCTGATAACATGCTGATTCTTAGAGTCAATTTCCAACATGAAGACTTATCTTCACTGCTAGCTCCACAGCAGCATTATCTTGATGTGTTCCATTTTGTAGTTGTGGACAACTGCAATGACCTAAGTGAAAAACTGTGTTCATGCACGGACTATCCAGGATCCAGGACTAGAACAACTCTTCTGTCAGTTAAGGAATGGTTGCTTACTATCACCCAACTGGTTTGAAATACTGGTCAATAAAATTAACCTTTTCCAAATTGATTTTTCTTTTTTTTTTAGTAAGCTTACTGATAGCTAGAATAGGTAAAAAGAATTTTTTAACACAATGGTCATGTTTCCTTTTGTGGAGTCTTCTGTGGATTATACGCAGATATATATATCCTCACAACAGAACACAGATAATGTACATACTGCATGAATTAAGCTCACTAGAAAACACTCTGCTTTCATATAAGGTTTTAAAAGTTTCCCATGGCACCACTCAATTTCAACTTTGAAGCAGTAAGGAAGCCACAGTAGTATCTGGCAGAAGAGCCTATTTTTCATCTCACACCATATCTCCTTTTATTGTTTGTATGATAATTATTGTATTTTGAACACACATTAGCAGTTGCAGAACTACATATGAACCATATGAATCTATTTTACTAATTTAATGTATATTTACTGGCTAGCAATGTACCTAATAAATCACATAGACATGCATAATATATATTATGATACATTTATTAAGGTAATATTTTGGTTTCCCTGCTTAATAGAGACAGAAAACCCGCAAGCAATACACATTGGGATAATTCCTCTGGTCAGGATCCCAAGACTAAAAGAAAGAAACCATGTCCAAGTTATGAACTGAGTTTTATATAACTTGAACAACATCATGACCTTCTCCCTGAAGCTTATTATATTTTTAAAGAACAGCAGAAAAACATGAAAAAAGATAAAATAACAATTGTAAAATTATTACAAAAATGGACATCTTAACGTATCAGCAGAAATTATCTTACAGTTGAGTGCAGCAAAAGAGAAATAAAAAATTATGCAAGCAGGCTAAATACTATCTGAAAAGAAAATAGATATGTCTGAAATAGGAAAAAATGCTGAAACATGAAAAAAAATGCTGACAGATGTGACAGAAAAAAGAGATTAAAATAACAGTAATTCTTCCCAGATAGGCTTGGGATGGTGGTCTCCAACTACATGCTGATCACTATTCCATAGATTATAAATCAGAATTTCTTGTCAGAATTTGGACTACTTCAGCTTTCCTGCCAATGTGAAAACTGGCCTTCAACTAAGTTTCAGCAATATACAGAAATGCAAGTTGTGTTGAGCTACAGCTGAACTGTAAGTAAATTATCTCAGCTGCCCATGCTAACTATGTCATGGAATCAGGAAATGGTACCAATACTGATGGCGAAGTGCCTTCAGAAAAATGGGAATCTGATTGTGAAAAATTATTGCAGGACATTGAAATAAATTTTAAAACAAGACAATAAATGGTGACAATATGTATAATGTTAATACAGTACATTACTACATTCCACTTCTTTATTCATCAATAATAGGTGCAAATGGCAATATACATTTCCAAATTAAGGTTAAATCCTTTGATTGGGGATGTTGTTGTTTCATAATCTCAAACATGTTGAGGTCCTTCTCATCGAACAACCAGCCAATCATGCCGATTGTCCTGAGGTTGGGCAGTCGAGAAACACATTGGACAAAAGACTTCACGGTTGCTGCTTGGCATTTGATTTGATGTGTAACTGTGCGATTGAAATCCACTTCTTGTAAGGCTGGCATGTTGGACAATGTTTGAAAGAAATTCCTCCAAGTCTCTTCAGTAATTTTATGGTTGACTGAGAGGCCCAGAAATTCAAGTTTTTGGAAACCTCCATCAGCAGCTACTTTTGCTGAAGCAAAAACAATACGTAGATAAATGAAATTATTTCAAAATAAATTGTATACCATGGTATTTGTGTCATGGATACAGTCTGCAAAGAATCAGTGCAGGTGGCATGATGGATAGGAAATTTTGGGAGTTTAAAGCCACATATCTTAAAATTACTAAAGTTGAGAAATACTAAATTAGCATAAAAAGGAATGGCTTCCTCCTTTTAATAAAAAGAAATGAAACTTGATATGATTGATTTGAGCATAACATATTGACTTTTAATATTTTAAAGCATCAGCTCTTCCCTCCACATGACATACTTATGTTATTCCATGTTAGCAAACACTTTTAACAAAAGGAGGTTTCATCATCTGGAAAAGTTAGAAGGGCCATTTAGGCAATGTCCAAATTCCTTTTCAGGTCAGGAATCTAAATGTATACATTACAGACAAAGGGGTCTCTTGCCTTCAAGGGCATTTGCAAGAAGGGAATTAGGTTACTGCATCAGGAATTACACATTTCTCATCATTTGTGCAATAACACAGTAATGTGTGGGGTATCACTGTGGCTTTTACCACACCCTTAAGGTCATGGATGGTCATAGGAAAAGATATCATTTGCATTACATTGTCTTTCAACTGAAGCAAATTATACTTAATCACATGTAGTTGAAACAAATTATATCATATCAGGCTTTTATATGTCAAAAGTTGCTCTAAGGCAGTGGTTCTCAACCTGTGGGTCGCGACCCCATTTGGGATCGAACGACCATTTCACGGTCGCCAAACAACGCAGTCCGCCATTTTTTTTTCCCCTTTTCCTTAGCTGTGCTACTCCCTTTTATTCTATTGGCTTTTGAAAGCCAATAGAATAGACTCTCTTGAATAGAGTCTAATTCTATTGGCTTTCAAAAGCCAATAGGAATTGTGAAGGCTGTCTCTGCCCTGCTGAGCCCGCCAAAAGTCCCATTCTGCAAACGGTGCTGCAATTTGTCTGCAGCGAAGGCGAGCTGCCTGAAAGTCTCCACCCCTCCCTGCTGAGCAACTACGAAAAATGTAAGTAAAAGAGGACCAGGGGTGGGAGGTGCGAGGCCGGTGGGCGCAGGGAGGGTTGCTGGCAGTCGTGGAGCCCGGCGGGTGCCTTATCTCCGTGTCTGCTGCTTGCCAGCTACGCCTCGGCCGGTGCAGGGGGCGGCACCACACATGCGCAGTGCTCCCGGGCAGGGAAAGTCCTCGACTTACGACCAATTGGGTAGTCCTCAACTTACGACCGGTTGGGGTCACGGCATTAAAAAGCTTGAGAACCACTGCTTTAAGGGCTTTTAAAATGTGTTTGTCGGCTCTGTGCTCAGACATAAGATAATGGGGCCAGGCCAGATCTACAGTATCAACTAGATGATGAACAGAGGATGGGTGTATGCTAAAAAGTCCTATAGAGATTATTTGTTTTAAGAGCTTACCTATTTCCAACAGGCCTTCATCACTTAAATACAGACTAAACTGCAATTTACGAAGATTTGGAAAATGGAAACATTGTTGAACAATCAATTTAGCTGCATGTCTTATTCCTTCTCCACTAGGTAGTACAAGCTGTTCCAAATTCATAAGAGAACGTAAAGCTAATGCTGCAAAGTAAAAAAGATGTGGCAATTGAGCATCTCCCAGGAAACCGTACTGTATAGGTATATAACCTATTCAAGGAAATTCAAAATCATAAATGCTGAATTTCCTAGATCAGCACTTCAACCACTATATCAAACTTCAGAAAATATTCATCAGGAATGAAAAGTTAAACCATACCCAGTGCTGTACTTGCTTCCTTGTTTTGCAGATATAATGTTGAGAGATTCAGTATCTTTAATTCTGTAAAATTTGGCAAAACAGCAGCTGCAATATATAAAAATAAATATGAGTATAATTGAAGTACAAAGAGCTGCCTTCAATTCAAATCAACAGATTTTATGACTAAAAATGATCACCGATAACTTTTACAATTAAAAAAATGCTTTTTATCACTCTTTAATCTTGTAATTCATTTATCTGAGCTTTTTATAGTCAAAATCTGCAAGTTGATGCGTGTGGCACTGCAATCTAAGCTCTACCCTTTTGTTACATGAATGTAATATCAACCTATGTACAAAAGAGTATGGCTTTGATCACAATACCACAGTCACCATCTTGCAGATTTTGACACGGACACGTCTGAATCTTCCAGTTCATAGGACTTCTTGCTACGTAAATAGGAAATTGGATTGTTTGTAGGAATGTAGTGGAAAGAAGGGATGACCTTGAGTAACAGGAGGAAGAGCATCTCTTGTTTTCTCAGGTTATAGTACCTGCTCTGACTCAAGTTTCTTTTATCAGACCCTTGTCTTGGTTATCAGTTCTTCCTCCTTTTCCTCAAGGTCATTCCTCCTGTCCACTGCAGGCACCTTCTATGTTTTTTTCTGATTAAAAATACAACTCAGCACACCCAGCATTTTATTTCATAGCAATGTGTATATAAGAATAAAAAGAAAAACAAACCAGATGCGTCATTTCCCAAGTATATTCAGAAGATCTAATCTCTGAGATATATTTTAAATTAAGAACTTTATGACATTTGAATTATTGCTTCTTTGTTACTAAGCAAAAGTGTAATTTGGTATTAACATTGCAAAAGTTCTCCATTAAATTTTTCTTACTAAGGGCACACAGTGCTTCATCTCCAGCATTCAAGTCATTGAGTAGAATTTCAGTGAGCTTCTTGCAGGAAGTCATTGCACCCATAAGAGCCCCCACATCAACAAAAGTTGAGTTTTTCAAATGGAAGACAGAGAGATTTGGAAAGTTCCGTATGAATTCAACTGTAAAACAAAAAGGGAAAAAAAAACAAATTGTAATATGAAGAATGTTAAGCTACATTTGACTATATTAGTGTCAGATATACAGTAGATTTACTTCATATTAGTTAAGAATCTATTTTACATAAGCATATATTTCACTTCTATTCCTTTTTGCCCTAGGCACAAACAAATCTGCCAGTTTCATTTTCAGCATTTTCCTCATGATATGAATTTCAAGTTCGTATCCATTTTATGTGCATTGTAGCACAGGTACTTTTTCTATACATATTTTTTCTTAGTTGGTGTCCCAGTGATTTTTGAGGACATACAATCGTCTAATGATTATACCATTGATGGTATGAGTATTGCATTTAAAAAATTGAAACACAGTGATTTATTAAAATCCTCACATTCCTTTTAACCATTTAGCCTGATTTTCTCTAATTAGTGCTTCCCATTAGAGGGGGGGGGTCAAAATAGACAAAAAAGGCAATTCCTAAATCACGCTTGAGTTCCCTCCCCCATTTGTATGTCCA